TTCTTGGTCTAACTCGAAAACTAGTCTACATATCAAGCAGAATCATGAGATTTTTATTAAGGATTGTTGATGACATAAAATGAAGAATGTCGTAAAGTAATCTTCACTATGGACAACAAAACCGTTGCTCAAATGAAGACATATGAATCAAATGTTAATTTAAATTTGACATCGACTATTAAAGATCTCTTAAAGAAAAAAAGATAAATCAATATCATTAATGTGTATCGCAAAGAAAAGGCCTTTTTATTTTTTATTGTGTATTTTTTTGTTTGTTTTTATGAAGTACAAAAATCCATCCATTGATGTGTACTTCTCAATTTATTTTGCATGAATCCCTTTTAATAATATTTTTTCATTATATTACTTTTTTTTACATAATATCTAAAACAATCCTAAACTATTTTAAAAATTTAAATAAATCATTATTCTTTTATTACATTCAATCAAAATCCTTATACTTTTATTTTGAGTCAAATAAATTCTTATTATTAATGGTTGATTAATTATTATTGATCAAAAGTATAAATATAAACGAGTAAGGTTATCACTTTTTTGAGGTACTCGATCCCAATTTCGTTTAATTAAGAAGGTACTCGAACTTTATTAAAATTCGAGTAAAATCACAAAACACTATCCCTAACTAAATCCTAATGATATAGCATAATCCGCTAATTACCCAAATCTGTTAAATATTGAATTAAATAAAACAAATAACAACTTAAATAGCTAAAAGTGATATAAAAAATTAATTTTATATTTATTAGTTTAAAAAAATTGGTTAAGATGGCAAAAGTTGTGTTGAAGATAAGGAGAATAAATGTTCAATTCTCACCAATTATAAATTTTTGAAACATTATATTATATTATATATATAATCGGGTTTGTATAAGTTTCAAGTATCATCATAGGATATCCTAAACTCGAACTTGAATCGAGTATTAAAAGCCTCACTCGAATCCATCTCATAATCAAATATAAAGTATCTAAACCCTATGTTATCGAGTTAGGTTTTCGCGTATATCCATCTAATAATAGTCTATTAGTATACTTGGTCAAAATGTCATTTATCATTTTATGTCACGTAATGTTAATATGACATGTTAAAATATTATAATAATAATGACGTAACATAATAATATGTTCACATGATATTTTTTACCTTATATGATAATATTACATAATTAAATTGAATATTAGAGATTAAAATTTTTTTTAATAACAAGAAGACAATCTCAACTACTTTTTTTCTTTTATGTGTTGTTTACTTTCAACTTGGAACCATATTTATTATTACTAAAATCAAAATTATATGAGTAAAATACTCGAATCTCTTTTAAGATTTAGTCAAAATTTTAAGTAGATCTATTAGTTTTTAAAATACACACTCTATCTCAAAAATGCAAACATTATTAATAGAGATTAAGAGAAAATTAAAATATTTTTTTATTAATTTAAAAAATTATTATTATATATATAAAAAATTAAAAAAAAATCAATGCTTCTTAAAAAAGGAGAGCACGGAGGAGGGGAGCATTAGATTAGTGCTCCCAACGGAAGGGAGCCGCCATCGGGCTCCTCTCGTAGGAGGTTTTCTTTTTAATTAATAAATATAATAATAAAATTAAATTATAATATTTTTTAAAAAATAATTAAAAATAAAATTATATTGTTATTTTTATTATAATAGTAAATTAGTAAAAATATTAATATTTGAATAACCATTAGGCTTACATGTTTAACAAAAAATATTTTTTTTAAAATAATATATTTATTTTAAAAAAATTTAAATTTTTATTTAATTTTTAAAAAAATTAAAAAAATAAAAATAATTTACCCAAATTTTATCCACAAAATCTGGTCTCAAAATCTCAAACCGAACCCAAAAGAAGCCTTTATTGAATGTGTACTGACTAAGCAAAACTTTTTGTTCTTGACTGTACGGTGGAGAACCGGATAGAATAAAAAATAAAGAGTCCCGCAATTAACGCTGTCCTATCCTATCTCCAAGGTCAACAACGGTTCAGTCATGAAAGGGACCCTTCACGACGTCGTTGAGTATGTCAGCTTGATGTATTCTGACGACTTTTCTTATGATCCGACGGTTGCCGTTATACGACGTATTTGGGGCGTAAATTGTAAAATGGGGAAACAATTAATATCTTTTTGACTTTTGAGGACAGAACGGAAATTAATTCGTCAAAAAGGAAAGTAAATTGCAATCAAGCCTGGACCCAGCTTCCAGATGGTACTAGACAATGGAGACCACGTTATAGGTTTTTCTCTTTAAACAATATATTTTATTTAAAAATTTAAATTTCAACTCCTTTTTAAAAATAAAAATATCTCATTTCTCTTTGGGTTTAAGTTTCAAAGAAATTCAGATAGGAATTATGTTATATGCACTCATACTTTCTTATTTATGGTTTATGCTTCTAATCATCACATATTATTAAAGTGGTGGTAAGATGATGATTGTCATTTTTAATTTTTAATTTTTATTATTTATATGTATAAAATTTAAAATATATAATATAATTATCTTAATAATTATAATTTAGTCACTTTTCATATAAAATCTTGAATTTGCCTTTGGACATTATACTGAAATTTGCTTAAAAATTTTGATTTGTGTACATATAGAAAAAATTTAGAAAAAATAAAGGGATTTGAATTAGTTTATGTTTAAGTTGTTATAATATGATTCATTTTGATAATAGAAAACTAAATAAAATGAGAATTGTATGTACATGAAACTGAGGAAATCTTTTTTTTTTCTTTCTAAATTAAAAGCAATAAGTTTTTTTATTAATTGTGATTTCATATTTTTAATGATGGTTTGTTAAAAACTTGACATGTAATTACTTAATTAACTTGATTTTTTATTGAGGTTAAACTTTGAATTATCCATTAGTGTACTTTAATTTAAGATTTAATGGGCAACCTTTGTCAATTGCATTTTTTTTTTCATTTTAAAATTGAAACATGAGATTATAAATTAATAATTTTAAAATTTAATAATTAACAATACCTTAAATATTAGAATTTAAAAGTCGACATGAAAACCTTATCTTCAAATTGTAAGACAGACCCATGTTAAGGACAAAGAAATTGTTTTTTTCCTTTTTTTTTTATGTAATCTAAAGTCGAATGATGGGTAAGTCTTAATATATACAGAATAAATAAAAAAATGAAAATTTTCACTCAAAGATTTCGGGATCAATTTTTTAAACAGAAATACATGCATGCATCACATATATGATTGAATCAAATATTTAATGTTTTAAGTACAAAGATCTAGAAGCATAAGCACTTAATTTCCTTAACTAACTAAGTTTCTTATATTTTCCTTTTTAAAAATTTTTCCACCTTTTATTTTATCTTTAGCAAGTACTAAGGACAGAAAGTCATGGTCATCATAATTAAGATTAGATTACATAAGGCTTCATCCTTAAGAAATGGTAATACTTTACTACAAGTATGGCTTTGTGAAATTAGACTAAAAAAAAAAAATCTTTGTCATTGAATTTTGTTTTAGTTAGAAATTCAGGCAGATTTTTAGTCTACCCTTTCCTTAAATAAGAACAAAAAAAAACATAATTAAATGCTGAGGGTCTAGAAGTTCAACATAAAAAAATTCTTTTAAATTCCTTTTTTTTATACTAAAAGGGGAAATGGTTATTCAAATCTTATGAGATTTTGTCTAGAAATGTCAATAAGTTGGCTTTATACGGGTGTATAAGAGTATTTGACGTATTTTATATTCGGATTTTGAGCATATAAAAATTTTTAATACTCATCTCTGGTTCGAGTATCGCTTTTAAGACACTTGATATTTGAACTTGATTATATTAATTTTTAAATATTATTAAAAATCTGATACCTTAAACTCGATTATATATCAAAAAATACTTTAAAATTCTTTATTTTTTTTATAATAATGACATAAACTATATTCAAATCTTAAAAGGTTTTGTCACATAATAAAAGGTTTTATTTTAACTTCTTAATTAATTTTCCTTACCAAACAAAAAAATTTCCTTAACAGAAGTTTCTCAATATGAACATGATGCCAATTGATTGCGGTCCCCTTAACATTTATATCATGAAGAGAATAATAATAATGATGATTGTGTATTAAGTCCTTTATTCTTTAATCCACGATTTGAATTTAAAATTTTCATTTAAATTCAATTGTCATTATCATTTGAATTAAATTCAAAAGACGTATTATCCTATCTTTCATACCAACAATATTTTTCTATTGAATTTAAACAAATTAAAAAAAATTAGAAATATTTTATCGCAATCTATATTTCGATGATTATTAAACAAAAACCATTCTCAAACCTCTAACTTTACTTGTTAATAAAGCAACAACATGCAATATATTAATTTATATACCGATAATGTAACAAATATAAATCATAAACTATATAACTCTGTACCTCTCTTACACACATGTCTACCATGCATATGATTGCTTATTTATAAATACTATATCAAATATAGTAATTAACAGTTTACATTACTAATTATTATATGATAACTAACTAATTAATTAAACAAATTTCTTTACATAAACATTGCTTCATGTACTATACTAGATAACTACAAATGATCACACACTTCTACTAGACACATGTGCAAGCTTTCAATCAAAAGGAAAGACAAACTTGGGGAAAAAGAAAGAAAAAGAAACACAAATTAAAGATAAACAATGTCGACAGAGTAGCAGCCACATTAAAAACTGAGGAAAACATAGCAGGAAAAACATTTTCCCTAACCAATCAAATTCTGCCACATCAAGAAATTCTTGGCCCCCTGCCCGCCCTTTTCAATGCCAATCCAAAGTCCAAGTTTTTCCATAGTCACAAGAGTCTGCGCACGTGCTGTATATCCATTTCCTGCCAGTTACAATGAACAATGAACCCTAGTGTCTCTTTCTGAAGCTTACCTTCTAGCCTATGAATACACAAAGCTTACGGGTCATTTAAGTATCTCTCAAGAATCCTCTTCAATATTTTTCTATGCCCTTGTTTCTTGTAACCTTCCTTTTTCCTTTATCCCATGTTCCTTCCACGAAATCACCTTTCTTTACTATAATAATTCCCCATTGTCGTACCATTATATAAACCCCTATATAGTTAATTATTTCCCATACTCATCATCAACCATATCTTGTTAAACATAAGCACATGCTACTTTCCTTTTTCTTCCATGGATGTGCATGGAGCTCGCCACATGAAACCCCACAAGAAGCATTCAAAGAGAAGCAACTCTAAGAAAGATATCAAAGTGGTTTACATTTCAAGTCCCATGAAGGTCAAGACATGTGCCTCGCAGTTCCGGGCTTTGGTGCAAGAACTCACCGGGAAAGACTCCGACGTTGCCGTCCAGTTCATGGACAACTACGGCAGCTCTGAAAATTCTCCGACCAATTCGGACGGGATGACAACGACGGGGAGGGTTGTTGATGATGACCGTGTGGTTAGGGGTTTGCCCTTGGGGAATTCCAACCATGAATTGTCTGTGTTTGAGCCGTTTGATGATGGACTTATCATGGAAGGGAGTTTCTTGGGGATGTTTACATCAAGTTTGCTTCATGATCCTTCCCAGGTTGAGGCTGTTAGAAGCTTTGATTCAATTTAATTAATTTAAAAATATGTAATTATATAGTCATAGTCTGTAGCTAGTTAATTATTATATATAATATATATGTATTTATCGGAAATAATTCATATTAATTTCATTGAGAGTTCGATCAAAACATGAAAATCAAAAAAAAAAATTGCTTTATTGTTTTATCAGTGATATGATCATATCACTAATTTACTCTCTCTTTTTTTATAATTAAATTATTGTTTTATTATGTCCAAGACATCATTTTAATGTTAGCCAATTTCTTACTTCCAAAATGTAGCAGTAAAGTTGGACTTCCCCTTTATCTAACTCAAGACAAAACGTTTATATATGCATATGCCAACATTTTGGAAACCATAGTAAAATGGGGGGGAAAAAGATCAAAAAGTAACTAAATATTGATTATTTGGGTAGTTTAATGGGGAATAAAATGATTTCCTTTGACTTGTTTTTTTAGTGGGTTATTAAAGTAAAGTGGATGATAACAAATTAAGTCAAAATTGCTACCCATTAAAGGTGAGTTAATTATAACACTAAATAAACTAATACATCTCTCTTACACTAAACTATTATTATTATTATTATGTTAGTAGTATTTTTGCAAAAAAATTAGCATATTTGCTTTTGAGAACTTATACTATATCGATTTGACTTAACTCAAGTGGTAAGGGTGAGATGAGATAAAATTCGGATATAAAATTTAAGTTCAATCGTATTCATTCATCTTGTATTAAAAAAAAATTCTTTCGACTTAAGTGGTAAGAGTAAGATGGAATGAAGTTCGGATAAAACTATTAAGTTCTCGTTGTACTCTTCCATCTTGTTTAAAAAGAAAAAAAGAAAAGAGAACTCTTTCAGATCTTTTTTTTTTTATTTCGGAAGAAGGAAAAAATAAATAGCTAATTTATCAACCAAATGGAGCCTAAATATTATTTTAGATATGCACTTGGTTTAATAAATTAAAAAGACATTTGCATGTAATTAATAATTTATCATATTTTATCATAAATTGAAACCCAATCCCAAGTCAAGAAGATTTTTCTTTTTTTGTTGTTAAATTAAATTCAAGCTCATATCAACATTGTCTCTTGACCAAAATTGAGAAGAAAAGTTAGGCCCAAGAGCCCAAGAGAACAATATGCAAGAAGCCAATAAACTTAATTGGGCTTGGGTAATTAATGGCCCATTAGAAGATGAAATTAAAATAAAGCCCAAGCTGCCCACAAGTTAAAAATACAAATTGCACTCTTTTTTTCTTTTTTAACATACATTTTACCTTTGTGTATTAAGGATTTGTAAATTGTAATGCCAATAATAAGAATTGTACAAATTTGATCAAGTAGAATATCCATTTTGTGAAATTGCTCATGTAGTTTTTTCCTATTTAGTATTTACAAGTGGCTTGTTTTTGTTTTCTTGCTAGCATAATTCATGGAATCTTTATAATTAAGAAAAAATTATAATGGTGTCCTTATCATCAAAGTACACTTATAATTCAATCCACTATTTTTTTTTTTGAAAATGATAGCCACGTTCTTATGTTGAATTTCCATTTAATCATCATAAAGGTAAAAATTTATAATTACAAGTATATATTACAATGACAATTAAGTATTACAATTTATATAAAAATTAATAAAACAAATTAACATATAACTAGACATTTAACATAAAATTGGATTAGATCCACACATAATAATAGAAGTGAGCACTGATCGGTTGCAATCGTACAATCGACCGCAACTAATAATTTTCTTGAAACTAAAACTAACTGAGACTCACTCTTACATAGCAAAACTTGAACCTAAAATTTATAATTTTCTATGATTATATACACATGATTGTATGTGGTAAGAGTTTTTTTTTTTTTCATATATATGACAATAACAAAAGATTGAAGAAAAAATTTATATTAACTTGTTATTTTGGTAAGTAAATTTTTATTAGGATGATTATAGGTTAATAATATGCTATATGGTCGTAATGGTATTTTTATCATTTAAATGTCAAATGGAATTTAATTTTCATTTAATTTTTATATGAATAAAAAGACTTTTCCACAATCCTATGGTTCCATGTAATTTAAAGGATCATTTTGTATGCCTTTCAAATGTCGAATACTATTTTGACTCTTGCTTAACAACAAGTCAATTCTCCACCTAAAAAAAAAAATACAAAAGGGTCAATTTAGAATTAAATTCTGATTTTTTCAACAAAATATTTCAGCAGAATTAGGGTAGTATCACGTGTAATTAGGAAGTCTATTTCAAGAAACTTGAATGCTGTACCATATAAATAGGGGATAATTCCACTATCAGCCATTTAAGTTATCATGATTTTACAATTGAGTCCTGTATTACATCCTAAAACTAATTAATCCAGATATTATAATTTTTCTTTCTTTTTATTTATTTAAAAAAGGACAATAAATTCATCCATTTTCCCCATATTCCTTCCTACCAAATACACCATGTAAAAAAAAATCTTACAACCCCTTTGTCCAAATGGACGGCCATGATTGGATAGATCATAAATAATTCCACCATCTTTTGCCAAATTTAGTTCATGCTCCCTTTTCTCCATGTTTCTCCAGCCTAGCTCCCATTGTCCACTTAATACAAACAAACCTCCCAAAAAAATAAAAAAAATAATAATTTGAATTAATTTTGTTACTTATAAAATTAAGTTATATAATAAAAAGAAAATATTCCATCTTCTCATTCATCTTAAAATTCAAACTTGACACTTTTAAAATCGAAGTGCTAAATTTTAATCACCAAAATATCTTTTTTAATCTATTTTTTTTATATGAGAAAAAAATAAAAACAAAAAAAAACTCTATAAGTTATGCAATCAGTTATTATATTTTATCAAGATGATGAATTTGATTTCTACATAATAATTTATATAAATTAAATTTTTATAATTTTAGAAATTAATAATATCAGTTTAATTATTAACTGTGTTAAAATTTTGGTTATTATTTATATCAATTTATATTTTTTACTAATTTTTTTTATATTAAAAGAAAATATAATAAAAAAATCAATAGAAGGAAAAAGTAAACAAAGCTGAGGAATCAGGTTGGTGAGAGAGGGAGAGAGAGTCATAACACATAAACTCAATAAAGTCACCAAAGTGAAAACAGCTTCAGACTTCAGCAGCCAAACCCAAACTCAAAGCTCCCAAAGAAAATAAAAAATAAAAATAAAAATAAAAAAGAAAAAGGAAAATCCTTTTACTTGCTTCTATAAAACCCTCATTTTCTCTCTCTAAAAAAACCTTTCTTTCTCTCATCTGAGTTCTTGTCTTTGTATTTATTAATCATAAGTTTTATGATCTCTTTTTAGACCTCCATTTTCCCTTTTAATGGATCTGCCACTTCCCCTTCTCTCTTGACTACTTCCTCTTAAAAAGTGGTTTCTTTTATTGATATTCCTAATTTCCTGTTTGGGTTGTGAGGATTTTTTTTTAAAATTTTCTGGGTAAAAGGAGAAATGAAGGTACCTTGTTGTTCGGTTTGCCAAACTCGGTACAACGAGGAAGAGAGAGTTCCTTTGTTGCTTCAATGTGGCCATGGGTTTTGCAAGGAGTGTCTTTCCAAAATGTTTTCGGCTTCACTGGATACTTCTCTGCCGTGTCCCCGATGCCGCCACGTGTCCCTTGTCGGTAACTCGGTCCAGGCTTTGAAGAAGAATTATGGGATTTTAGCTCTTCTTGACTCGAACTCCAACTCAGGGTCGAATTTGAGAAACGATTTCGATTGCGATTACACGGATGATGAAGAAGATGATGATGAAGAAAGAGAGGATGATGATGAAAATGGGGATTTTTTCGATGACTTGGCAGGTGGCCGGATTAACCGTGGATCACATGCTTCGAGTTCCGGTGGTGCTGCCGGATGTGGGCCGGTGATCGAACTGTCAGCTCATCCGGGACTAAAGTTGGTTAGGAAGATAGAAGGGAAAGGGGAAGGAAAAGGAGGGAGAGCGGGAGTGGAAACGTGGGCAGCGGTGATTAGTGGGGCCCAAGGCGGGCCAGGAGGAAGCCGGTGTAAGCATAAGGTGGCGGTGAAGAAAGTTGGGGCAATGGAAGGGATGGATGGGGAATGGGTGCAAGGTCAACTTGACAGTTTAAGGCGTGCATCAATGTGGTGTAGGAATGTTTGTACTTTCCATGGAGTTGTTAGGTTGGAAGATGGTAGTTTGGGGATTGTTATGGATAGGTGTCACGGCTCGATTCAATCTGCAATGTTGAACAATGAAGGGAGACTTACTTTGGAGCAAGTTCTAAGGTTTTGTTTTAAATTTTGGCTATTTGTTTTTGTTTAATGACATTTTTGTTTGGTGTTCATTTTATGAAATGGTTTTGATTATGTTGACTATGGTAGATGGTATTCTACAACTTATTCTCTTTTTGCTAAATACAAACACAAACACACACACACACATAAAGTTGATAGGTTTCTCTTAGGCTAGGGCAAAATGTGCCTTCTGCCGAGACTCTTTATTGTCAGGCTGAATGAACCTTAACCTTTGAGCTCTTCCCCTTTGGTATTGGTCTTCTTATTTTAATGTTGGTTTTGTAGACTAGGGCAGATGAGAGCAAATCTTGATGTTTTATGCAGATTTTCTTTTTGTTGTTGATGCGTGGGAAGTTGTTGCAAAATGTTGGGTTGTGTTATTCGGTTGGAATGGGTGACTTGCTAGATGTACTGAATTCTTGTTGCCTTGTATGGAGTAGATTAAGGTATTGTGATTCCAAGGGAAGTGGTTGAAAAAAAATAGTTTTCTTGCATTGTAGATATTTGTACATTGAATAGAACTTTACACTTTAGTGTCATTGGAAATGTTTGTAGGGTGATCAATGCATTTCCATGGAGGCTAAGATAGATTGTATGGTAGTCTTTGATATCTCAAATATTTAACTTTTCTAGTTTCCTTCACTTTTAGTGTATATATGCAGATTCTATGCAGATGCCGAAGGATTTAAACATTTTAACTTTAACCGCTTAATGAAAATTCCTAGTCCATGTGCTTGTTGATTGACATATTTGGTATGAATATTCTACTCCTTATCTGCAAAAGCCTTGTAGTCGAGTGATATGTGCATCCTGAACAAGGGTATTCTATATGTATTGAGTATATATTATTTCAAGTTAGTTCTGATAACTAGTCGGTAATGTCTATGAGCCATTCATCATGATTACCGTGTGAGTGTGGATGGATTTATGTCACTTGGTGTTTGTTGAATCTGATTAAGATTGTCAGATGGGGAAAATGGGAAGCCTTTAATCACCAAGTGTTGGTTCATTCCCCCCCCCCCCCCCACCCCTAAACGATAGTTTCCTATTGCAAGGATGCAGAAGAGGATGTGTTCGAGGAATGTTTATATATTTAAGGGAAAAAAATTGGGGGTTATTCGGTTTTGATTGGTGATATTTGCCTGGGGTATTGTGGAAGCAAGATGATTTCATGCTTACCTTTTTACAATTGGGATCATGCTACAATTAGACGGGTGGAGGAAAATATTTGCTGACCTTGAAGTAGTGTTAGTGTTTTAAATGTGACAAATTCTGCATGATCCATAAAATGAAACTGGTACATACGTTCATTTATGCTATAGTACTACTAAATTTTCCTTTCACTGCTGAAATTAACGTAGGAGCTATTAGTGCAGGTATGTCTTTTTATTTGCATTAAACAAGGAGAAGAAAATTATAGTTATATGTAACCTTGATTACTGAACTGCTAAGCGAGAAAGGAGCTACAATACAAGAAGGCCTATTTTTATTTGAGATTGCAAAATATCACTGGGGATTTATCAATAGTGCTAGGCCTTGGAGATAGCTTTAGCTATAATTGGGCATTTGGCGCTTTTATGTTAAGATAGCTTTCTTACCAATATTAGAATAGATGTATGATTTTAGCATTATTGCTATTGATTAGGCTCAACCTTTACATGCTAGTTTCTGATGGATGTATTTAAGAAAGTAAACAAATAGAATTATAGGGATTTCTTAGACTTTAACGTCTTGCCGGATGATACTTGCCAGTTTTAGTCTAATCAAAGACTTTATCAGAGTAGTGACAGGTTATGTCTCTTGTTTCTTGAAAATTTATTGACAACTTTATGAACAGTTCTTACGTAAATAATATTACACTTTTCTATATTTTATATGAAAGGGACCACTTGACTTTTCAAATTTTCCTTCAACTGGAGGTTCTTACATTGTGAATGCCATTTCCATTAGAGTTTATTCTGAGCCAAATTTGTCCTTTTCTAATTATTTTGAGAATGTTAACTTGGTGTGCATTGTTGTAACTGGTTAGAATGGTGAATCTGTGAACACAAAACATGCAAATAATGCAAGGAATTTTCATTTTGATTGAAGTTCCTAAGGACACCCAAGACATTTTTCTAGGGGATTAGCTTTTCTTCTGATAAATGGTAGAATTTAACATCGTTACTTTGAGAGTAGAAAGCAGTAGCTAAAAATTAATTTGAATTTTACTAAGAAATGCATGTGCAAAAAAGTTGAAGAAGATAGCGAGAGGTATCAGTAATATGATATGTTGAAGTCTGTAGATTGATAAGATGAATGAATTGTTATGTATACATTTTTACTGATCATAGAAAATGTTAATATGGCATTATTATGCATGGGAAAGATATATGTGGCACGTTATCTTTTTCCTTTTCCCCCTTTTTTAATGTTTTTATGCATAAGATTTCTTACAGTTTGTTATTAGAGCTAACTGTTACAGCCATCATGTGTCATGCATTTTTCTGTTTCTGCACAAATATGTTTTTTCCCTTTTTTTGATTTTGATTTTTTTTTCACTGGGTTGAGGGTGTATTTAAATCACATCAAGTGTTTCCTGTTTTACCAAGTCTATGCCTGTCTTTAGCATATTTAACATCTTAGATAATTAGCTACGATGATTATGTGGCTGTAATGTTTTACATGACTTTGTGAGTGTTTGCCAAATGTAGATATGGAGCAGACATTACACGAGGGGTGGCAGAACTTCATGCGGCAGGTGTTGTTTGTATGAATATAAAACCATCTAATCTTCTTTTGGATGCAAGTGGTCATGCTGTTGTTTCTGATTATGGACTTGCTGCAATTCTGAAGAAACCTGCTTGCCGAAAAGCTCGAACTGAATGTGATTCCTCAAAGATTCATTCGTGCATGGATTGCACAATGCTCAGCCCGCATTACACTGCCCCAGAGGCATGGGAGCCTGTAAAGAAGTCACTTAATCTGTTCTGGGATGATGCAATTGGCATATCTGCAGAATCAGATGCCTGGAGTTTTGGTTGTACATTGGTGGAAATGTGCACTGGTTCCATCCCGTATGTGGAGCAATCTGTTTTTTCTTGTGTTACTCTTCTGTTTCTTTTTCTGTGTATGGATTTCTATGTTTTCATTAATGTTATGGTTTCATTGTAACACATCTGAATTTTTTTATGCAGTTGGGCAGGTCTGAGTGCAGATGAAATCTATCGAACTGTTGTTAAGGCTCGGAAATTGCCGCCACAATATGCAAGTGTAGTAGGTGTAGGATTACCTAGGGAATTGTGGAAGATGATTGGTGACTGCCTGCAGTTCAAGCCATCAAAAAGACCAACATTTAATGCGATGTTGGCAATATTCCTCCGTCATTTGCAAGAGATACCACGCAGCCCTCCTGCAAGCCCTGATAAGTAAGAACAGAATTGTGGTTGTTACCCATGCCTACTTCCTCTTTTGTTGTTTGTGATACCTAGATAAAAGCTAATTGCTGGCCTAGAAACAGCTGATGCTTTTAGTGTTGGTTATGCTTTTGTGTGGTTGTCTACTTATGAGAGACAGATTTCCAGTAAAATTAGTTAATAGTGTTTGATGAATTTTATTGGTGAATGCAGTGGCTTTGCCAAATTTCCTGGGTCAAATGCAGTGGAGCTGCCACCCATGTCTGATTTGGAGGTTTTACCTGAAAATCCTAACCATCTGCATCGGCTTGTTTCTGAGGGAGATGTGGGTGGCGTGAGGTTAGTGCACTTCATTTCAGACTTGTTTTTAGCTCTCTTGTTTGAAAAACCTTAAGCTTCTTATCTTATTTTCCATATGCCCGTTTACTTTGTTTGTGCAGAGATTTTCTTGCAAAGGCTTCTTATGGACAGAGCGGCAGCTCAATTTCTTCACTTTTAGAAGCACAGAATGCTGATGGGCAAACTGCTCTCCACTTGGCCTGTAGACGAGGTAGTGCTGAACTTGTTGAGACAATATTGGAGTATACAGAGGCAAATGTGGATGTTTTGGATAAGGATGGGGATCCCCCTCTTGTTTTTGCTTTAGCAGCTGGATCCCCAGAGTGTGTCCTTGCTCTCATTAGGAGAGGTGCTGATGTTCAATCCAGGTTGAGGGATGGCTTTGGTCCATCTGCTGCCCATGTTTGTGCCTACCATGGTCAACCCAACTGCATGCGTGTAGGTCTTATGTCAATCAGATGTATATGGTTTTCTTGCTTCTTCCCCACTATTTTGAGTTATCTGGTTTATGTTGCTAAATGTCTAACAGGAGTTGCTATTGGCGGGAGCTGACCCTAATGCAGTGGATGATGAAGGTGAATCTGTGCTTCATAGAGCTGTGGCCAAGAAGTATACAGAATCCGCCCTTGTCATATTGGAAAATGGAGGCTGTAGATCAATGGCTTTTTTGAATTCAAAAAATCTGACGTAAGTACTATACTGCTCCACACCCGAGCACTTAGTTATTTTTAATAGTAGAACACTAAATACATATTTGTTTCTCTTTTTCCCTTTCTGAGAGATGAAAGTCGTCAATAAGGCACTTGTAGCTTTTCTGTTTAATTAGTCTAGAACTCTGTAAACTGAATAAGTGATTTAACTTCATGATAGAATGACCTGCTTGTTTAACTTTAGGTTAAAAGTAACCAGCTTCCATTTTGTTTCTAACTTTTGAATGTATTTCTCCAGCTAGTTTCTTTCACAGCTCTTGTTTTCATTTTTATAAACACATTGCAATAATAATATGTTACCCTGCTACGTACGTCAATTTTGGGCGTTGAATTAGTGAACACCTTTAGACGAGATACCCTTGAACTTATCAGTCATCACTGATATTTTTAATAGTCTACTCATGCAGGACAGATAACTGGTGAACAATCTCTCTTCTCAATTATGTTGGAGACAGATGCATGCATTGCCATTAGGGTTGTGTTCTATTATTTTGCCTTTGGTGTCTGGATATGAATCCAGTCATCTATTGGTTTTGTTTGATTTCTAAACATACTCACAATTGGAATATTACTTTATTGATATACTTAGCTAGTGGCTTGTGGGGTATGGTTTAGGATCCTGGCTTGAGAAGACAGGGATTACTGCTCGACTCAAATGTAAATATATATTGAAAGTGATCCCTTGAGAAAGTTAAAAAGAGCTTTAGGAAATTTTTGATCCTTTCATATACTGAATTAGTGGTTGAATCTTAATTTATTACTACTTTGACTTTCATTCTCTCTCTCTCTCTCTCTCTCAGGCAGTAAATATAAATTTGCCAAAGTAAACTTGGAATAATTGAAACAGTAAACATAAATTTGCCAAAGTAAACTTGGAATAATTGAAATAGGCTATCTCATTTCAACCATTCTAGTCTGTTTCCTGTCTGCGCATGTTGCCACATTTTCTTTAGAATATGACTGCAATAAGTTCTTAGCATTTAATTTTTCATTCTGTTTCCTGCTGCTGCTTCATATCTTGATTCATCATCATCAGACCATTGCATTTGTGTGTGGCAACATGGAATGTGGCTGTTGTCAAAAGGTGGGTGGAAGTTGCACCTCCAGAAGAAATTGCTGATACAATTGATATTCCCAGTCCTGTTGGTACTGCTTTGTGCATGGCAGCTGCTCTAAAGAAAGATCACGAAATAGGTAGTGCAGCACTCTTGGATTGTCTTCTTTACTTAAATGGTCAGAATTTTCACTTTTAGTAGTCTCTAGTCAAATTTTTATCTTCAGCTATTCTTCACAGTTCCTTTAGTTAAAGATAGGTAATGTTATTTTAGCCATGCTGTAACATCTTCTTTGAATTGGTACACAGTTTTTGGTAAAATGTATATTTCCTTAAATGTGGTGTTTCATATGTTCATTGAAACTCCAATTTAGGATTTTATTCTTTATTATGAATTATGGGATTCTGTTGTTCAGGAATGGGATTGTAATTTCTGCATCGACTTACTATGTTGGTATAGATTACTCTAGAATTTTCTGTGTTGTTCTTTTTTGGCCAATATTTCTAGGAGTTCATGTTATTGTGCGTTGACTGCTTGTTGCTTTTTACCTTTTTACTAGCTGGTTTCCTGGTTGGAAATTTATTCCTAGTGGATTTTTTATAATTGTCTATTTGATCTTATTTTTTTGAGGATTAATAAAATTATGATTATTTTGTTTAATTTAAGCATGGATGCAAGGAATATGTTAAGAGATATTCTTCCTCTTCTCCTTCCTTGAATTATTCTTCTCACTGTTGCTACAGCCTTTTGGGCATACCAGTTACGACACTGTTAGGACATCCTTAGTCTCCTTTCTGGTCTTTGTTAGATTGTTTTCTTGTATATCTTTCACATCCTTAAACCTTGATCTTTGTTTCTGGCAAACCATAACCTACTAAACTCTTCAACCACCTTTGTTACCACCCTTCAAGGCCTACTACCATACCTTGGTTTCTTCATTTTTTCTTGGCAATGTTGTGTCCATCTTTTTAACCACATGAATTTGTATTATTCAGTAGTGATGATATGATTCATTCATAAAACTGCTTGTAGAGGGTAGGGAACTGGTGCGAATATTGCTTGCGGCTGGGGCAGATTCCACTGCCCAAGATGCTCAACATGGGAGAACAGCATTGCATACAGCTGCTATGGCTAATGATGTTGATTTGGTAAAAGTAAGCTACATAACTTCCTTTCTGTGAGGAGCACTTAATTGTCCTTTTTCTTTGATAATTTGGTTCCTTTTCATGCATCAATGCAAATTTCTTCACATTTATTTAGCCTGACTTTGGGTTTATACAAGTTCTAATTTCAAACTGGTAAACAGATAATTCTTGATGCTGGAGTGGATGTGAACATCAGAAATGTGCACAATACAACACCCTTACACGTAGCTTTGGCCAGAGGGGCAACATCATGTGTTGGGCTGCTTTTATCTGCTGGGGCAGATTGTAATTTGCAGGTTTCTACCCTTACTGCCAAAAAATCTTTTCCATGGAATGCTTTGGCATATGTTTCCCCAAATAAAGTGATTGGATTATGGACCTTTTTGTTACGGAAGTAAATTAGTGTTTAATGCACAGATATTCACTAGATACATGATCTAGGTCAATTGTACTCAGAGTCTGTGCTTTATTATTTTGGTGGTTGTTTGGGGTTCACATATTAGAGTTATTTTTTCTGATTATGTTGGTCTGAGGATGGTTTGATCTAAATTATAATGAATAACTCATTTTCTTGAAGAGCAAGACCAAGCCTCCATATAACAAAGAATTGGGTGCTTAGCAATTTAAATAAACTTAGTTCTTTGATGTAGAACCCTACAGACACAGAAAATGATATATAAATAAATTGAAATATTAGACCTGGAATGTGGCTAAATTAATTGCCTAATCATCCCATTAGGCATGCTAATTTAAAATGCAATGTGCTGGAGAATACATGGCAGATGATGCTGAGATTGAGTTAGAATGAAGTGTGCTTATATTTTGCGATTGTGTTGCGAGGGCATATTTTGTTGCACAAGGTCTTTCTGCTGATTCTAGACAATGTCTTCGAGGAGAATGAAGGAGTGTTAACACATTAGATATTTTGAAAAGTATGCCTCAGAGTTTCTAGTTGGTCAGGGTTGGGAAAGTTAGAGGTCTTAGGTTTTATGGTTGTAGAGAGTGGTTTGGGGTTAATAGTTGAATAAGGTTTGAATTGATTCTATCTGAGGGTGAAGTTGTGATGAACATGAAAACTAGGGTGTTAAGTCATAAGTTATAATTGGCAGTAATTGGTTGGAAAAGTTGTGCAATGTGTAGGGTGTGGGTTATAATAAAGGAGGATTAAATTTGGATTTCTAAAAGAGAAGTTTAAGATGTTTTTGCTGTGCTCTTAACATTTACCCTTTTTGACATTGCTCGACTATAAAAGCTAATGAAGTTGGGGTAATTTGGGATAGTTAAAATTGTTGTAGGAATGGATGGGTCCCAATCTTTCTTTAAATTTGATAAATTGACACTTACTTTTGGTCAATTAAAGCTATGTGAAGAAGATTTGTTATTTGAGACCAGAGGGATCATAACTAGAGCGGAACTTTTTGCTCGGACCAAAAGAATTTCTTGTTTATCTAAGAACCCTTGATTCAGGCATTGGCTTGCAAAAAGATAACATTGATCTACCCAAGTAATAGATATGGCAAAAAGGAAGAAATGTGTTATCGTAGAAGTATTAGATAGTTTGGCACTTTATCATTCTTAAGTTCATGAAAAATTTTAATCCACAGCAAGCAAGAAATTTTGTGGTCTTTGTTTGATCAGGTTGAAAAGTTTTTAAGTCAAACTGTTCTATTGGTTGGTATCTGACGCAAGAAGTCAGCACAGATGTATCTGTACTTTATAGTGTTGCTCAGTGATTGTCTGACATGGTTACATGCTTGACATAGATACATCCCTTTTTTGGTTTTCCCTTATATTTGGAAGGTCATAACTCCATACTGGTTCGTTTTCAAGTTTTTGATATAACTCCAACCCAGTTACATTAGGAAAAATTAACAGTTGGAGAAATGTAGTTTTAAAGCAAGGAGCAATTTGGCATGTAATATTTAAGTATTTAATGCAGTAATTAAAAAAAAGAATAAGATGATGCTTGTGGTTGACTTAATAAATTTACCAAGTGGTCCATCAATCCTGATTGCTTTTTCAATCTGATGGTTATTTTAAAATAAAATAAATAAAACGAACTAAAATTACAGTTGTTTGAGAGTGAGATAAAGGATAAATGGGACAGTGAGCTTGAGTTTTCAACATATGTCCAACAATGGTGCTTAGGAAAAATTAAGAGTCAGAGCAGCATAGGATGAGCTATTCTTTTCTTCTTGCAGTCCAGTTATTCATTCTGTCTTTGCTCATCACCAGGGTGATGAAGGTGATAATGCTTTCCATATAGCAGCAGATACTGGAAAAATGATACGTGAAAATCTTGAATGGCTCATAGTTATGGTGAGAAATCCTGATGCTGCTGTTGAGGTTAGAAATCACAGGTCAGTTCTTGTTTATTGCTATCATTTTTATTCATGTCTTTTCTTTGGTTCAATATTTTTTTGGCAGCACATTTTACACTGTAGAATCTTTATGTTGGATCCTTATATTACTAACATGGTGTCAATACATATGATGACAGTGGTAAGACATTACGTGACTTTTTAGAGACACTTCCCCGTGAATGGATTTCTGAAGATCTAATGGAGGCACTAACAAATAGGGGAGTTCATCTGTCCCCTACAATGTAAGGAGAAGGTTTACATCATTGTGCATGCATTCACATGATTTATTTATTTGTGTGTACTTTTTATGATGATTCCTTTGTTCTTGATCTTATTCAGATTTGAAGTGGGTGATTGGGTGAAGTTCCGACGGAGAATCAGTACACCTACATATGGGTGGCAAGGTGCCAGGCATAAAAGTGTTGGCTTTGTGCAAAATGTGGTGGATAGAGACAATCTTATTGTGTCATTTTGCTCTGGAGAGGCTCGTGTGTTGGTAAATGAAGTTGTGAAAGTGATTCCTTTGGATAGAGGGCAGCATGTTAAGCTTAGAGAAGATGTCAAGGAGCCAAGGTTTGGATCAGTTTAGTTTCTTATTTATTGTAGGCAGTTTCTTCGGTCTTTTAAGTATCCTAGGGCTGGGATATGGAGGGGCCTAAACCCTATGCTTTTCCATTTATTACCTGGAATGGGAACTTTGCTAAACTCTCGAAAAATATGGTATTATGTTTGAAGTTGCATGCTGTTGCCATAGTGTTCCAAAACCGTAACTGAAACCATAACCAAAACCATTTGGAAATGGCATGTGTAATCTTCAGATATTTTGAGTATTTTTGTTAAAGTAGGATGACAGTATTATTTGTGATCTTTTTAATTATCATATAACATAAAATTAGGATAAACATATTATGTATAAGTGGAGAGTGGTGATGATATTCCCCTGGGTAAATGGTAATGGATGTCAGCATAATGTCTCGGCCGTTTACTTTCTTTATCTTATGTGTTAGGCAAGTTGTTTATGTGTCTCTTGGTCGCTGTGTGCATATTCTGTTCTTAAGAGGCAATAATGACAGTAGTATAATCCTTCTGCATTTGGATGCTTAGCTTGTACTTAGGTTGGTACCCCCTTGTCAGGTTTTTACTTTTTTCTTGTTAGCTGTCAAACAGAAAAGAGACAAGGATTCATGTTTCCGCTGTCTTTCCAATGTTTCTGAGAGACAGGAAGCCATTATGGATTTTCCTGATTTTTATCCTCTTGATCTGAATCTATACATTAGAAGCCAGTGGATTATATGTTTAGTCTCCTCTTGAAGTCGTACTTCTGCCCATTGGATGCTGGCATCCCATTAACTTAATTGAATGGCTTGATCATTGATAATTAGTTTATATATTTTCAGGTCAGTTTGATCTAATGAATGGATTCTTTCAATCTTCAGGTTTGGCTGGCGTGGTCAATCACGGGACAGCATTGGAACTGTTTTATGTGTTGATGATGATGGGATTTTGCGTGTTGGCTTTCCTGGAGCTTCTAGAGGATGGAAAGCTGATCCTGCAGAAATGGAAAGAGTTGAAGAATTCAAGGTTGGGGATTGGGTTCGTATTCGTCCTACTCTTACAACGGCAAAGCATGGATTAGGATCTGTAACACCTGGGAGCATCGGTATAGTATATTGTATTAGACCAGATAGTAGTCTATTGTTGGACTTGAGCTATCTTCCAAACCCTTGGCATTGTGAACCAGAGGAGGTTGAGCCTGTTACTCCATTCAGGGTATATAAGAGACTTCAAACTTTCTTTATCGATGGTGTTGATAAAGCTTTTCTATTTACTTAATTTCTTTTTCCTCTTTAATTGAAACTGGTTCTTCTTACAAAGAAAAAGTAATATATTGTTTGATTTTATAGATTGGTGACCGGGTGTGTGTGAAGCGATCTGTCGCAGAACCGCGATATGCTTGGGGTGGTGAGACCCATCACAGTGTTGGAAGAATTAGTGAGATAGAGACTGATGGGCTTCTTATGATTGAAATACCTAATCGACCAATCCCATGGCAGGCTGATCCCTCTGACATGGAAAAGGTTGAGGATTTCAAGGTAATTACCTCCCCCTTTCTCAATGTAGTCAATGGACTATTTATTGAGGATTTTTTTTTGGGTCACCCATGTTATGATTTTAAAGAATCTTCTGTATATATTCATTAAGAGCAGGTTGGCGATTGGGTTAGAGTAAAAGCTTCAGTATCCTCTCCAAAATATGGATGGGAGGACATTAATCGCAACAGTATTGGTATAATTCATAGCTTAGAGGAGGATGGTGATATGGGTATTGCTTTCTGCTTCAGAAGCAAGCCTTTTATTTGCTCTGTCACTGATGTAGAGAAAGTGCCTCCTTTTGAAGTGGGACAAGAGGTTCATGTTATGCCATCTGTCAGTCAGCCCCGACTTGGATGGTCAAATGAAACTCCAGCAACTGTTGGAAAAATTGTGCGAATTGACATGGATGGAGCTTTAAATGTAAGCATGCCACTCATCTTTGAGCGCAACCCTTTTTTTTCTATCCATTTCCTTTTATCTGGAAGCAAATAAGCTGGTCTCATGTTATTTGATGTCCTTCATTCTGGCAGTTTTTTTGTGTTTTTTTGTTTTTTTTTT